TATGATATATCATATAATGCCACTTTGTGCACTGTCCTTTTAATTTTTATAAAGTCTATTAAGACCACAAATTGAAATTAACATTTGGAAAACAGAAAGAATCTTATTTCAGTGCTACGATATTATTCATATATATACGCGTTAACTTGTTGATAAAAAGACTTAATGTTTAAATATATACATTTGAGAGATGTTATAAAAAAATACTATAACAAAAGTAAAATATTTCTAAANGTAGTAATATATATGAATTTTCGATTGCACACATTTGCTTATATATAAAAAATACGTACAAAATTATATATAAAATAATTATATGCATGTATATAAAATATGCTTACAAATGAGTGAGATTTTTGCAATTAAAATAATATAAATAATAATTTGTATATATCTTGCAGAGTTATGAAGTTCAATTAGTTTTGATAAATAAATATAGCTTTCTTATGATTTCTGTCCTCTCCATAATACTATAAATTATATGATATATAAATATCTCTGGTCCGCATAAAAGCATAATCCGTAGAATATTTAATATAAATATTGACATTAAAAAAAGAAATATATATACAAAAAATCGAACTATCTTTCAAGATATATCACATGTGCTTGCACACACCTATTGTACGCGTTTTATATTTTACCGTATACATATTGTCCGATGATATCTTTTAATTATGCAGGATATTGATGAGTGATAAAATAGTCATGCGAAGTATGCCAGGTAATATAAAAATAGACGTGTAAAACACGTGCTATTTATAGGAGGATTTTAAGGGAGGGAAATTAAATCGTTGGCGAAGTCGCTATACTCTGCCCTTCAGGTCAATCATCTTCTCATCGACATATCTGTAAAATTAAATATCGGGCTTGCTCTACCTCACATCTACGGCTGCGTAGTTCATTAAATAGGCGAGATGGAATGGCAACACAAATGTACATATGATAAAGTCATAAGAGGGTATTCTATTCTTGTAAGGAAACTTTAATGCACTCTCGTTGTGCGCAATATTATTGACGTTTAATTAAATAACAAGTAATTAATGCAGTAAAGTAGCAAATTGAGTTAATTGCTAAATTAATGATTAAAAAATCAATGTACAACCAATCATGCAACATATAGAATATAAATGTTAAGTAAAACATCTGCATTTTCCGTATGCGTATTAGTGATACATCAATTTTATTTCGCATAAAACTCGCGAAAAGCATTTCTCAACATGCTATAATTATTAGAGGCTTGCAGAAGCGTTCCACAGCTTTTTACCTACATTTCTTTTATTAATAATATAAAATAACAATTAATACAAAAAACAAAATATTATAAGGCTCCTTGATTAAAAAGTTAAAATTATAAATTATAATAAATATATATAAATATGTCTAACAAACTACATCTATAATTGGGATCTTATTGCCTGTTTATTATATATAATTATTTTGATAAAGGAACAATACACGTGTGAAAGTATTTAGTCATTTATCGAGTCAATCTTCACTTTTCAGTCTAAGTATCCACAATCATCATCCACTACTTTCTGTCAGCTTTCATGTAATAGTCTGATTCCTTGTCTATGATATAATTTATCTTTTGAGCACATGAATCATAGACGATTCGATAAACGTTTGCAAGCCCCTAATAGTTTTGCGGTCAGATCAAACTAAATATAGTCATGCGACGAATTCCTAAAAAATTGTTCGATGAAGCCTTAAATGGCACGAACAAACAAGCATAGACCACATGCAATGTTAAAACATACATGTATACATACCTATACAGGACATAGTGTTGTATTATGAAAAATATATCGAATGCCACAGAAAAGAATCCAAGACCGAATTTAGTTGGATCTCCAAAAATACTTTCCCAATCGTCTGAGATCAAAAAATTAATGTGAATTAGCACGTCTCATGACGGAATTAAATTATAAATTTTAGGTACGGATATAAAATCAAAATATAAATTTAGCAACATATTTTTACCGTAGTTGTAAGCGTTGAGTATCATTTGCAGCATCGATAAGATACCGCCGGTAAAATCTAAGAATATATTTCCAATGCTCCAGCCAACAGTAGATTTTCTCCTATAATTGTAAAACGCCTGTGGCACATATTTGATAAGCGTAATGCTGAGCTTAACGTAGCTGCAGTAATAGAGGAAATCTAGCCATTGTATTATCTTGACGAAGGATAATATCAAAGATATTAATATAAATGACGAAAATATTCCATGGATAATACGCGCGGTCGTTGATACTCTCTGATTGCCAATCTGGAGGAGGAAGAAAACAATATAATTAAATCTCGATCTCTGTAAGTATGGCGATGTGTTATTTCGAGAAAGAATACTTCCATCAATTAACTACGTAATTAAAATTTCATTTAGTTACCTCATAAATAAAACATTGCGTGACCGTTACTGTAGTAGCAAATAATGCGTGTAGAGAGAAAAATATATCATTAACTTGGACAGGATTCAAGCCTTTTGGATATCGATTGAAATACTCAAGCTGAAAATATTAAGTCAAGATGAGAATTAATTAAATTATACACGTATGTGAATAAAATAGTATGTATAACGTAAATAATGTTACATTTTCCTATTGAATTATACTAGATGTGATAAAATTTGTCTCGGGTTTCATTTATATCTTATCTTGCGTCATTATCAGAGATTCTTGGTTCTTTTATACATTCCGTGCCCCGTATGATGAATATAACGAATACGACGATATCTTACCTCAATCTCAGGTATCCAGTAGAGGCCACAATTGAATAACGCGTACATAAGAAAACCGACGAGATTTAACGATAGGTAGTCGAAGTTGAGACCCACAACACTTTTACGTTTGTAATTACTGTAGATTTGTGGATAAAAGCTTATACTCCATGCCAAAAAGTATACCCAGCCAACCACAGCACTGATATGATACAGTGTCTCCGATTTCTCTATAGTCACTCTAACAAATGCTTGAGAGACACTAAAAAAAAAAGGAACTATTATATACAAAATAAATTATTTCCACTTATGTAAAACATTACGTAAAAATATATTTCGAATATAATAAAAGATACCAAAAAATAGCATTTTATATATTTGCTTACTTCAAATCGATATTATTCAATTGATCTCGCGGTATAACGATTATTTTATACATAGACATTTTTTGGAGGAAATTTTTGTAATTATTTTTTCTTCAAATCTTGAGATTCTTTCCGCACTATTTTTTAAAGCACTATCGCGAGCACATTACACCAATATAAGCTTTGGAGTTTGTGGATTTACAAAATTAACTGAGTATGTTGCACAAGAGTCGCTTGTTAACATCTCAAAACTAATAATTGAGAACATCTATTAGGTACAGACGCGTTAACGGTCGCTACCATACTAGGAAGTAATCCGTTGCAAATCCGGGTACAGACTGGCAAAATCTCAAGTTTTAGCTTGGTTGACAAGTTTAGGTCAAAAGGCTATCAATGCATACACGGCTAACGGAGTAATGAGAATATGAATGTAACGTGTTGATTGGAATCGTTTTGGAATTAGTCATAAAGATAATGGAGGCATCAATGCCATAGGTCTCTGCTCTCTGCTGTTTATATAAGCGGTTCAATTAAGAGTACGAACACTACTTAAATGAAGATGTGCGTATTTGTACAGCCGATTAGAGTTTATATATGAGTTTACAAACAAGTTAAGATTTAGAACCATATCTGAAATGTGCAATTATATATACATACATACATACATACATACATACATATATATATATATATATATATATGTGCGTGCGTGCGTGCGTGTATGTGTGTGTGGGTGGGTGTGTGGGCGTATGTATACTTACTCTGTAATATTACTAGGTGTTATATTAGCACTGAGAATCGAGTGGCCTGCATTCAGGCCTTTTACTTGTATACATTCCGTCTGATTCGTTGTAATATTAAAACTAGATGGACTGGTGGATATCAAATCAGGATGCTGCGCAACTATCGTTACTGTCACGCTTCCACTAATGGGTAAAGGTTTCCTAAAAACAAAAGACACACTGTATAATTTTAGCAACAAAAATAATACTTTTTTAATATTCTATATATTCAGAATTCCAATATATAAATTTGTGATATAATAAATCAAATGTCCGTGATTAACTAATAAAGTATAGAATCCACCAACTGATATCACATTCTGTTAGATTAATATTGCTATCAGTCAATGCTGCTATCATTATTTCTGAAGCAAATGACGAAATCGTCTTTGGTATGTCTAGAACATGCTACGATTAAGTGAATGTGAGTGAAGGTGAATAAAATGCATATACTTGGTATATGCAACATAAATTCTAATCAATTATAGTTGATTTACTTTGTAGAAATAAATTGTGAACATCAGAAACACGTATGTTTTCGCATGATATTGCAATTACAGTGTGAATGTATACGCGTTGTTAAAAGTAATATAACTTCATATTGTGGCCGTGTAATAGCTGATAAAATCTAAAAGTACTCCACGGACATTTGTAATATAGCCCATTATAATAACTTGGACTGGTGGCATACAATCATTATTAATCAATCATTACTCACGTTAAAGATAAGTTAAATGATCCTGGGTGATTGATCTGGATTTTTAAATCCTGCGTAGACACTTTCAAGTCTGCCTGAACACACTTTAAAACTGCAAATATAAAGCGGCAATATATGATTAACATGCGGATAATATCAATATATAAAGGATTGTTTTCCTTTACCGTGCCTCACCTAAAAATATGAGGATCCACGTGTAGCGTAACGAAGCCATACTTGCACACCGGCTGAAACAGAATGATAAGCCACGCTTAAAATCATATATCGCTCCTCAGCGTTGACGACAATTTTAACGATAGCATTATCATCTCAATCATTTGCATGTCATGTGCGTGTGTAATTGCGGACGTTCAAGTGAACGAAATGCGCGGCTCGCTCGCAGAATTAATTAATGTTCGCGCCCGTTCATGTTTCTTACGTGTTGGACGTACGAGCGAACGGCGTGTTTAACCTCAAAATGCGAATCACGGGAATGATCACAGACTCGTACGATGCGATGACGTTTGACACGCCGCTCAATCATTTTGCTGATTGTCAGTCAGCAAGAATCGATGATCTCGATGACCGAATGTAGAAGTCAAACGGCGTGAAGTCAAGCACATTCCGCAATATTATTGTGTTTAGCGGCTTTATCAGACCTTCCTAGCTATCAGTGTCAACGTTAGTTGGCGACGATGACGCCAGTGTCCGTCAATGTCGTCGTCGTCATCATCAGTATTATTATTATCGTCATTGTTGTCATTGTCACCGTTATTATTCTTACTAATGTTGTACGAAGTGAGCAAAATAGTGTGGAGCTAATTAAAAAAAAAAAGACACAGCCGGTGATATCGCGTGAACTCAAATTCTCGAGATCGCGACGGCCTCGCTACTACACTTTGCGGCATGTTAAAATCGATAAGAGATGATTATAAGAATTATCGGCGAAAATGTTACGATACTGGCGGCGAGAGATTGAGAGAATAAAATTTGTATGTGGAGCTGTTCGACTGTTTGACAGAATTATCGGCATTTCTTCGAAACATATGCATACACACATACACACACGTACATGTTAATTTTTTTCTTGTTTAATAAATAGAACCTTGCGACGAGAATGCTACAAGGATGATGTAACGCGCGGTACTGATACTGATTATGCTCGCAAGATAATGCAGTATCGAGCTTTTTTCAATAATCTGGTCTAATGAAACAACAACACATTGCATCACGCGAAATAATATATTTCATTTACATCGTGTTGCAATGTGTTTGGTTGTGTAGGCAGATTAATACCGTCAGTGAGAAATACAAGTCTCATTTTGCCGGGCGGGTTTCAACAGCTGTGATTCTGGTTATCGACATTCCATTCCTTTCGTTATCGATATGCTTATTAATCAAGCTTTAAATACAAATCCACATTCGCGATATCCATGCAATTCGCGTTACACGCGCGATCGTTTCTTCTCCTTTTCAATGTTTTTGCACTTCAATGCTTAATAGACGATAAATATATTTTAGTAGGTCAAGTCTCGGTAAAGTTCCACCGAGATTATGAAAAGGCTGGCAAATATCCTAAAGAACATAGAAAAGATAGGAGCGGTGGGAAGGGGGGATGGTGTGTGATAACAACTGAGTTAGAGCAGAAGGAGGGAAAGAGAGGGGAAGAGAGAAAGCGATACGTCGAACGGAGTGACGAAGACAAACGAGACACATTTACTTTTGCGCGTTGGAGAAAAATCGCGTGATAAAAATGATAAAGGGAGAACGTGTAGTTTTAACGCGGATATAATAAGATAGGTCAGATTATACGTGAATTAATAAATTGAGATTTCATACGATTTCTTAAGAGATCGAGCCATTTCACGACGAAGTTCAGTAGAGAAAATTCAGTTTTTCATTAGAATATTCATGATCGATATAGCATATGTAACAGAGAATTTGTGTTTCTATTTTCTTCTTTTTCCGAATAGGTAATCTGTAAGAAATCTTGCATACGGTTAATCATGTTCAAGGATATGGTGTGTTTTTCAAATTCGCGTATCGCAACTGTCGTTAATAGACCGTGAAATCAATTTAATGCGTCACGCGATCAGCATTTAATTATCTATTATGTTTATCCAAGATATACTTCTGTTTACTCAAATATTAAAATATCAGTGTCGTATATTTGCTTCTATATGCTCATTTAAGCACATAAATCTGTAAAATTGGAAATTATCATGTACCTATTAATATCGTCCGTGAGTATATATTCTCGTAATATTTTAGTCGCGTACATGTTTACATATATCGTGACGTGATATCGCGTTTCTTTCTATAGCTTGCGGCTGAAAAAGTTTCAAAAATGCTCTCCGAGGCCGATGACGATGCGAGAGAGAAAATAAGAGTTTTTATTTTTGATATCCGGCTATTGCAGATTTATTCGAGTCGAGATGCGCGCGCGTAATGCGCTCGAGCAAAACAAAAAGACCGTAACCTCACCCAACGTAAAGGATTCTAATTAAGGTCGGATTAAAAGAGCAGTATTTCGCGAAAATAAGGCGGCAACGTGGTGGCTAAAAATAAGCGTTCGTTTATTTCGTATTTAGCTAAATACGTTCTATGGTGGTTATGCCCGCGAATTCAATTAAGCGCGACAGTAACAGACGATCATTGGCCGCGATTCCGGAAGTGAGCTTTCCTATCTTGTCGGTAACAATGTTACGTTCGCACGCAATCGCGTATTATTCCTTAATTTGTGTGTACGATACCACGCGAACGATCCGCGCGCAGCAGGCAGAATTAAAATCCGGACGAACGGGTAATAACGATTATCATAAATTAGAGATTAACACCAACCGGGCCTGCCGGATTGGCCGACTTAATGCTCGTCTCATGCTAATTTCTTATCACGGTCAATTTTTTAATCGCGCGCTGAGTTAAACTCGTCGGCGATCGGAAAATATAATCATACACGGCGACTCGTTAATATTATTTCGGGAACGCAAGATTATGTTCCCGAAATAAAAAAAAATCCCGTCCTCTCCTCTCTCTTCTTTTCCTTACAATGTAAAATTCGTATATCACACAATCGTATATCACCTTTCCGTATTCCTAAAAATTTCGAGAGAAATATGTATCGTAACTATTTTATCGCATTATAACTATTTTATCACTAATAACACTATTATCTGAAAATCTTCAAGGTTATAAATTTCAATATGAAATTCTTAAATTTACTAGCAGAAACGCTATTAAGTACTTTTAAAAACTTCTTCTTTAACAGTGTACGACTTACGTCGGTGACTCGTTCTCGTTCCAATTTTTTCCCCGACGCATATCTCATGCAACATATTTCACTTTTAAGGACTTGCGCAGAATTAAATTAACAAAGAGCGCACGTCAAAAGATCCGCATCGGTAGTACCGTAAAGCACACACGCTCAACCACGTTATCGTAATTTCATTCGTGGCGTAATTCGCTTTTTTAATACCCACGAGACAGAAAGAGAGAGAGAGAGAGAGAGAAAGGGAGAGAAGGGTCGCTCGCGCGCATCATTGAGGCGGAGGAGCCATCAGTTTCCTCGTATATTTGAGGATATTTCAAGGGTACCGCCGCCTTTCCCTTTCTCTCTTTCTCCCTTGCCATGATACATTAAGGCAAAATGTCGACATTACGGCCACGCGTCGCTCAATATATCATTACGGTGTGCGTAGTCGGGACGACTCTCGGAGGCGGTTGGCGGCCCGTCTGAATCTCCGGGATTTATTGGGCCGCGCGCGGCCCCGGCATTATTATTCCATCGGCGGAATTATTGGCGCAATTAACTGCCGGCTAAACGGTTTTAAATACTCTGCGCGCGCGCGCGCGGTGTCGCCGCTTTTGTCGGGGCTCTTTCTCTCTCTCTCTCTCTCTCTCTCGGAACCGATCGATGGAGCGCGAAATATACGAGCGACCGCACTCCGTTGACCGCCGTCGAGAAATTTTTTATGGCTCTATTCGCGATTTTATCGGGGCTTTCTTTCCTTTTCGTTTTTTTCTCTTTTTTTCTGTTTTTTTTTTTCACCAAGTCGTCCAGGCTCTCTGCAACACACGCCTCTTGCCGCGAGCACGTGAGCACGCCGGTTTGAACGTGAATTTTTTTCACGAACCGCACGAGATGTCTCGCAACATTCGCGGGAGGTGTGACGCGCAGCGTCGATACCGTCGTGTATTTTGGTGTCGCGCTTATCGTTTTAAGTGACGCACTTGGAATGTTGTTTATGCGATTAGACGATATAACTCGTTCGATTGTTTATCGTGTGCACACGTCGATTGTATCCCTCTCCTCCCCGCAATAACACGCGCGCAGAAGAATAATACGCGGGCGCTTGGGCGATGCAATTTACCTTCGTTTAGCAGCTGCATTTGCGCAATTACGATTTTCGTTTGAAGAGAGAGAATTCAGTTTCGCGTGTCGTACCCGCGTTTATCCGGCGATTTCGCGTTGCCGCGAACACGATGAATAACAATATTCATTGTAACGCAATTTTTCTCCGTTCAGTAGCCGTGCCGCAGTCAGCGGGATTACAGTCGAAAAGAGAGAATTTAGCTCTGTTAATTTCCGTTTGATCCCATTATTTATTGCTAGTACATTCGAAAACAAACCGGCGCGCAATAGTCGCACGCCTGCAATCGCGTATTATGAATTATTAGGACCCCAAGCGCGCGCAACCGGGAGTGTGTAACGCGTACACCAACCCTTGTTCTCGCAGAAAATAGCCGCCACGTACGATTGCCAGGATTCGTGTACATACGGGGAGAGTTCGAAAACAGCTTGTAATAGCAACGTCGAAATTTGAGCACTGATGCTTTTATCGTATGAATATTGATGGGCATTGTTCGTCGAAGCGCGAATTTCATGGCTGGCGACGCGCGAGCGCCGTCGTTGGCGAGCGCGCCACGCTGGCACGAAATTATTTTCGCAACGCGACACGACGACAGCTCATTTTTGGAAAATATCGCCGGCCAATATCGCGGCTCAACTCGGATATCTCCCTCGGATTTTCTCGGTATCTCAGTCTGCCTTTCTTATCGTTCGGCCGATAATCAATTTTATCTCGACGGTATCACGCATAAATGATGTCACAAATTAATAAGTTGAGAAATCACTCAATTATGGCTTCATTACAGAGAGAGAGAGAGAGAGAGAGAGAGAGAGAGAGAGAGAGAATTTGTGTTGTAATGCTCCATCAAAATTCTTATCCTCCCGTTCTTTTTTTTATATTTTCGTATTCTGCCTTTTCATTACTCTTGTTTGCCATTATTGTCCTGGATAGATTTCAATCGTATGTACACATTTGTGACGTGCGTATTGCAGGGATCAGCTATGGGAGGTTGTAAATTCGTTCGCATATATGCGCTGATTTGATATTTTCGCAATCGAATAGCTCCGATATGCCAACGATTCGAACTCATGCTTTAATCCAATTTCTCTAATTTAATGTAATAAACAGCAAATTTTCTCGCACGACGTTATTCTCCGTTGCATATTTTACTGCATCTTCAGTCGCGATACTATTTATTCCACGATCATCTTGTGTTCTTCTTGTACGCTCTAGTCGGTTATTGACGTAAATTTACGAGTTCCTTGCCGGTCTACCCTGTATCGCGGATCCGGTTTCCAATATTAATATCACCGTCCAGCGCGTTTGATCTTATCGCAATATCGGATTTCGTGAGGTGTTTGAGCAAACAGGGTTTGAACAGCAAAAGAGAAGAAAAAAAATAACAACATATCGCCAATAGAATAAGAGTACCAATGAAATATAGACTATTAGCATTATGTCGCACACATGTCCTGAATTATTATAGCTTGACGATGTTTATATTTCCG